ATTCGATCGTGTAGAGGCAAATTGTAGCGCTCTCGTCGATTGTCAAGCCATCGGGTGGTCGTTCTGCAGTTTCGTCCAATGCTAATTGAACGTAGAACGATATATTGTGAACGATCTCAGTCAGCGGAAGTGAGACCGTGCAAAAGCAGTGGTATTACCCGTATATAATACTTTACACTTGTCTGTATCATGAACAGTGGTATCTGGTCGTTTTTGCAGAAGACTTTGAACACTTTTCACTGATGCATGTTCTTTTCAAGCACGTAATGATAGTTTATATGGTAAATTTTGTTCGTGAAGTCGATAGAGTAGATCTTGCAAAGCACGCAAAACCTGTTTACCTTCTAGCTTCAGAGCCATCACTCGATAGTCATCAAGGTAACCTTGGATAGTTCTGCGTAGTTGTGTGTATTGTTCATTGACAATATCATCAATAGATTGTTTTGAAAAACGACTATGACAAGGCTTGATGTAACTGATACCTTTGATAAACCTGTATGGTTTATGAAGACTAAAGTCAAACCTTTTTACAGACAATTGTACTATTTTCTTCGAAAAAAGGTTTAGCTCGAATCTTCCCAAATCAGTTTTGGGGGTTTGGTCGTCGGGTACAAAAAAGGTTTCGTACGAGGGGTCAAAATAAGTGAGCCTCATCCTCAGGCGCTACCTTCTACGCGTTGCAGGTAGCGATTGAGGTTGAGGCTCACTTATCTTGACCTCGTACGACACTATTTACTTGGAGAGCAGAGGAGTTTCGAACACGAAACAGCTAACTCTGAGTGAAATTCGTCAATGCTTGCATATAGACATGAACTGAAGCGATGAAGTCAGTCCTTATCTGCGTGGGATGTACGAGCAGGGTTGCCACCTCATCAGGTCAGAAAAGCGGTAAGTTCGATCAGAAAACGCGAAAAACAGCGGAAACAAAAAACCAAAAAAAGCGGAAAGCTGTTTTTTTGCGGGCTTTTCATATTTCTAACGTTTTTAAATAACCTACTTCTTTATAAGGTACTTCTTTAATCACAAAGTTTCAATACGTAATAGATAACACATAAAAAAGATAGAAATTTGATTCAACAGGTTGCTTGAACCTCTTTTGCATCGAAACATGTATATATGTGTACTTCCATTGAGCTCACAGATCGAACAATAACGACAATGACAGACTGTGGACGGCAGTGATGATCACAGTTCACTAAACACTAACAGATTTTCTGCTGTATCGAAGTTTCGTTAAAAAAGAAAGGTTTTATATGAAAAAGCGGAGCAGCGGAAAGAAAGCGGGAAAAAGGTGAAAAAGCGGAATTTTTCCGAAAAAAGCGGAAGAGGTGGCAACCCTGCAGGTAACGCTCACAGATGCACCCAATAATTCAGACGATAAGGGCAGATTTAATGCCATAATCGTACTTGGTTCATTAACATCGGATGATAGAGTACATCCTACACCATGACCTATTCGATTCACTTTCATTCTTAGAATATTATTTGCCCGCATTGGGTGCGAGGCTGTCAATGTAAAATCAGTAAGACTTTCACTAAATAAATAAGCACCAGCATCACTTAATTGTATAGTAATATCAAACAATGGACTTTTACATGAGAATGTTGTTGTGATATTATCCCATAAAACAAATGATGCGCGTTTTAATGAAGGCCACATTGTTCCATGAAAGAGTCTATTAGTTGATATACATGAGAAGATTTGTTCTTGATCATATTGTTTTATCACTGAAGGCATCGACTGAAGAGATACATTGGGTAAAATAATATACCCATAATCAAGAGTATATGGTCCAACACCATGATTTATCCATATAGTTAACATGCGTGCAGTTACTGAGTAATTATAAGCACCTATAGTATTATAATTATTTGTTTTATTCTGAATTTCTATTCCTAATGTATCATATTGTTTTTGTACTTGTAAAAGATAACCAATATCAGATCCACCTACATGTATCCATTGTACATTCGATGTTTTATTTTGAATATAACGAAAAGAATAGATTCCATCGGAAAGTGTAATCACAGTCGAATTAAAAAAACCAATCGTGATTTGTCCAGTAGGTAATAATCGACTAGCAAGTGTAGTCCATGCTGTTGTTGGTGTAGTTAATGTTAGATTAGTCGCCAATGTAATAATTGCATCGTCATAAAAATGCCATGATCGTTTAGCAGTCAGATTATGAGATGCTGTATCCATCATGGCTAATCCATATTGACCATCACTAACACCACCACAAAGGATAATTTTGTCAAGGGAAAACCTCTATCTTTACAAGGTTCAAGTGGGATACTATGTTCTACTGTAATACCATTGATAGCTTGCCAATCTAGAAGGGGGAAAATATCATTGTACGCATAATTATTGACTGTATATAAGTTGAGTACGCCTTGACCGGTGTGTTCTGCTTTTAAATTCTCACCATTAATACATTCCAGTGGTTGTGTTCGAATTGATTGCATTTTAATAGCACTTGTCCAATTTACACGATGATGAACTTGATAATCAGATGTATAGAAATGTTTATTACCAATGAGTAAAGCAGCATTTGATCGACTATCAAGACGATCAGCAAAATTAACTAATTCTTTTTTAAGTTCATTTGATTCGATTAAGTTTGCCAGCACTCGCATTGAACTTGGATTAAGCTGACTTTGATATTCTTTGGTTGATCTAGCAATAACTCTTCCCACAACGTGCCAATCCCAGTTTGTTTCTATCGTCATCCATGCAACACCTTTAGTTAAGAATTGACTAAATAGCAATAACTGGTTTGCATCTGGTTCAAACTGAGTTTTAACACTGCATACAAGAAATGAAAAGATATTATTCATCCAGGTCTGACCATAACTACCAGTTAATAATTGGTGTCCGTGGAAATGATAAGACCAATCATTCTGAACACCGTCTGCGCGTACTGGTACAACAACAATATCATTCCACACATATCGAAATCCTTGTTCGAGACCAGTTATATTAGCTGTTGCTAATGATCGATAGAGTTGGGCTTGAATCATCCACACTAAATTTGCCCCTGTGTCCTGAGGTCTATGTAGCCACCAAGCTGCGCGATAAGATATTTCTTTAATCTTTTCAATTTCAAAACTAGTTGCATTGTCACCTAACATCAACAGTTGACTCGTTGCATAAATAGGAATATTAATTTGATTGAACCACCAATTTGGATTTTGCCAATCATTGATTAACCAAACATCGAGAGCGCAATGAACACTCGACATTAATGTTGCATTATTTTGTACGGTAGAACCCGGTACTGTTAACGCTTCCAACATAGTTGTTATTCTTGCCATGTGGTCTGCTACAGACCAAACAGCAACATTTTGATCAGCATAATTAATGTCTGACCAATAACAAGAGCTGTTCAATGTGCGAGCGTAGGAAAGTGCGTTTTGTATTGTAGATGTTATGTTTAATTGCGTTGGCCAAATCATTGTCTCCAAAACACGTTGTCGAACGATAGAAATATCATTATTAAATGAATGAGTCGTGCTGGAGAATAATAAAAACAGGAAGACGAATGAAACGCTGTATGCCATCGGTAGAATAGGTATGTAATTCTGTTTAATAAAAGATTTCCCTTTGTGTTTTATATGATATTGTTATTTACTCAATCTTATCAGCACAAGAAATGATAAACACACATGCACTAGCGAACTTCTAATCCTAGTGAAAATACTCGTCGGGCGAGTACGACTTGACAGCATGAGTACTTAAATGCCTCGCGCGAGTACTCAAATGACTCATACGAGTACTCAATGTAGTACTCATATTCGTTTTCTTCGCAGAATATTTAATAAAACACTTATGCACTAGTATGTACAAATATAGATTGACGTTATATAATAAAGAAAAATGATGGAATTTGATGAAAAATAGAGAAAAGATGTTTTAATGACTTATCTTGTTTATCTTCTATTATTTTCCGATGAGTCATTTATACGACTTTAGTGAATAGTGATTTCAACATTCAATTTTATTTCCTAAATTTAGATAAGATATTATCTTACACTAAAATCCAGTTCTTTTGTCTCAAATTGATTGTGAAAATAAATAAAAATAAAAGACGGCTAATGACTTTTGCCACAAGTTGATCGGGATTTCATATTACGAAGACACATGTAATATCGACAGATGAAAAATGTAATTTTTGATAGGTTGCTAAATGAGAAATTGTCATTAGTTTAAAAATATCTCTTCATTTTTTTCTGCGATGATGTAGACGATGTGCTTATTTGTTATCGCACTTCTCAATTTCATCGAATAATTTATTGTTCATTTCTTTTTACTGATGTTGTACTATTTCAAAAACGCGTTTTTTTCCTTTTATTTTATTTTCTAACGGTGAAAAATTTACATCTATTCTGTATATAAAAAAACATGAAAATAAAGTAACACTTGCTGTTCTCGTATTTATTTTTTTCTCAAGTTTTCTCAATGTGTGCCTTTATTTTTGTTACTGATTTTATATTTAAATTAAAAGATCTAGTAGTACCGTAATAAGCATAATATAGGCCTATGAGTATTTTATATAAACCACTAGAGTACTCAAAAACTGTATATGAGTACTCGATTGTCGTACTTAGATCCTAGCGCGAGTACCACTGATGAGTACTCAAAACTCATGAGTTCTCGCGGCATTTTTTACCGTGAGGACTTTATAAGTACTCGCCTATGAGTATCTTCTCTAGGGAACTCCCACCCTCACAAAGCAGCTGTCACTATTTAACAGTACTTATGACTTCTCACTTATACACATGACAAAAACTGAGGTCTTTTAAAAAAAATATGTTTCTTTTCTGTATAAAATAGCAAGTAAATATATTTACTTTTATCTATTCTTTTTTTTTTATAAATGTTTCAACAATTAACAAAGCCAGTTATTAATTATTGGTGATGCATAATCGGAACATGGATGGTCCATACTAATACCTTGGACACAGTACAATTTTTGGCATATCAAAATCTTATCTTTACAAAATTCAAGTGGAATAGCATTGATAACTTTTCAATTGATAATACTAGAAATTTTGCACACTCTCATTAATACCAACGGTATACAAATCAAATATCCCCTGATCACTATATTCCACTTTTATATTTTAATCGATTTGTTTTTTCTTTTCTAGAGGATGTCAATAAGTTATTATTGAAGACGTCATCTTTTTTTGACACATTCTACAACCTTCGTAGCATAGTTCGCATTGCGCACGTTTTGCGTGCATAAATCAGTAAACAACAAAATAGATACTTATTCATCCTTGATTCATACTATTGCGAAAAATACGACTCATCATTATTGATGAAATGTATAAATATGGTAATTAAGATCGATCGTATTCTCTGTATAATATATTGGACGTTCTCTTCGAAAGTGATAATTCTTTGAGAAAATATATTTACAGAAGAGAAAAAAACAACGTTTCGATATTTGGTATCATGTAATTTCAAAGATATCATCATCCGAAAACGGCCATTAATTCCAAATAACACCTTATTTTTAAAACAAACCTATTATACTGCTACAAATAATACAAGCAACAAAAGATATCCCTATATCAAGTATTTAGCTCTTATTCTAGGTGGAGGTATAACTATTTCTGTTGCTTCTCAAGCCTATCTCTGGATTGTACAAGTCCCTAAATGTCCAAATTTTAATCCTAATTAAAATATTGACATCAAGAATATTTTAGCTAGTACATCATTAGAACGAGCTACAGATAAAAAAATGTTCCGGAAATGATCCAATGAAGAAAATTGGTGCAGCTACTAGTGTGAATTATAAAATCGTTACATCAAAACTGAATAACATTAGTTACTCCATGGAAATTCTTCTAAATGACAATTCCATAGCTGATCGAAATCGATTTGATACTAATTATGCGATTGAATACATTGAAACTTTAGCCAATTTAATAACAAAATTAGATGAAGTCCATCGTACACGTTTATTGTCAAACTTAATTGGTTATTATATATTCGTATGTCCAGAATGTCATTCATCAATAACACGACGAATGATATCATGTACTTCACATTTGAATACAGCTGGATTACAAGAATATGGTGCTGATCTATCAGATGTCAATGAACAATGTCGGAATCCGCTGATCGGAATACGTCGGAAATTGCCGGAATGAGTCGAGTTCTGACCGGATCCGATCATCGGAATGAATCGGATTGAATGAGTTCTGACGGAATCCTGTCGAGGGTTTTCGTCCTGGGACATAGTATTCAAGTTTATTACTATAAGAGAATAGTAAGTCAAGCTTTACTGCCAATCATCCAATACCACATAGGCTTTCAGGCATTGTTGAGTTGATGGCTCTCTCGGTATCTTCCTCGAAACAGAATTTTATCGCGACCTTATTGTTGCGTTCGTACACAGACAGAAGGGGTTAGACTGTGTGCCCTGTACTAACGAGGGAATTGCAGATCGAGCTGCTATTTATACCGTAGGTAGGAGACCTCGAGACTAGTACACCTGTGCAATAAATCGGGCCCATGTCTACTCGATCTTGAGTTATGACCGTGTCAGTGAAAATGGTGTCCATAACACGGGGCTTTTGAAAAAATTTAATTCAGTAATTTCGATCTGAGATTTTCTCAGTGGATAAATCTAATCCAAACTAGTATTCCCTGAAAATTTCAATAACAACGAATGTGTCTTTCTCGACATATTCAGTTCATAAAATATGATGACTTCTCGCAAGAGCGATACTAATCGAGTTTTCTTGTCAACTCAATATCGTGAGAAAGACAGATTCGTTTGTATTGAAATTTTGGGACATTCTAATTTCGATCAGACCTATCCACTGGCAAAATCTCAGGGTCAAATTTCCTGGATTCAATTTTTTCGAAAGTGACCTGCTATAACTGAAAACTTCAGTGAAATGGCCGTGACACAAGATCTAGTAGGTATGGGCTCGAGTTGTTGCACAGGTGTACTGGTGTCGAAGTCTTCTGCGTACGGTATAAATAGCAGTTCGATCTGCAATTACCACTTGGCGTGCTTCCCTCGTAAGAATCAAGAATCGCGACTTGGGGCGAATTTGCACGGTTCAAGCAATCTCATCTATTCTTTATCAAGCTAGCAGTCTTGCTCTATATAAACGATCAGTAAAGTATTGATCCGATGCCGTTGTTTCACACATATATAAGCGATGTGGACAACATTATAGACCTTGAGTTCTATGGTTGGAATATCTAGAACTGTGCATCAGTCCTTGTTTTATCTTCCTATAATAAAACTTTCCTCGCTTGAAGAACCGTCTAGGTTTTTCCCAACTACTTGCTTTGAATGCTGTACAAGAGTCATAAAACCTCTCAATGCAAGAAGAGTTGGTGTCATGCAATCAAACGAACGACACATTGCTTTTCGGAGAAATCCTCAAGGATGAAGAAAATGCATTACTTGTATTTAAGTGTTGAAAGAAGCATTGCGGACGTTGCTATTTGCACGCATCACGCCATATTCTCTACACAATCTCTGTTGTACGTCGCCAAGCAAGAACGAAAAGCGTCTGTTTCCATTTTATCTCGCGGCATGTGACGACAGAAGAGAATGAAAGATTCATCAAGGTTGCGCAAGACAGTGTGTATTATTGGCAGTTCGAAACGACTGTTTCATGTAACATTTGCACAGTCACAAAATGGCGACAGCCAATCTGCTAACACTTAATGACCATAGAACAAAAATAAGGGATCCAAGCTATAGCACCGTCTGAGATGCCCGTCCCAAGATGCCCTTTTAACCTTTTTACAGAAAAATCTAGAAATTTCACGATAGGCTTCACGCCGCGAACTACATCTATGGTGAAATTTTTAGCAGGATCGGACACAAAAAAGTGCCTCATAAAAAACTTGTTTCCAGAGATCTCCTCATGTCCCGAAACAATTTTTTATTTTACTATCATCTTGATATTTCCAAGAAGGATTTGTACCATTTAGCATTGTTTCTGCACTTCTGCTTTAGTTACAACCCTAGTGAAAGTACTCATACGATGAGTACGACTTTACTCATAATTCGTCCATGAGTACTCATATTGGTACTACTAACAATTTCTGAGTATTGTTACTCAGTGAGTACTCAGTTACTCATGTG